ACAACTAAAAATCAAGTAGATTGCGCGTCTTCATATAAGCAGGAATCAAAGTGCGACTAAACAGTTGTGCGATAGTTTAGTTTCAGATGTGTGTGCTCTAAAAATACATATACTATTTCGGACATTGTTTGGGATGTGATTTATGACCCGAATTTAATTCTACCCACACTGAATTTACCGGAAGTGCACGTGAATGCACCCACTTTGTTACATTTATTACGTGCCCACTCACAGACGTATCGTTTGAACTTTTCTGTACCTGATATTGCATTCTACTCTGTTTCGGAGAGAATGAGAGAGATAGCAATGTTTTGTATCTTCAATAAAACTTACGATTTCAAATATCAGTGATGTTGTTAACGACGCGAGTTAATGCTTAACACAGACGTATTTCTAAAGACTAACTGCGTTCCGTTTTACTTCTCCTCACTCCTACGTACTAAAGATCATAGTTTAATGTAAGGTAATTAAAAAAAATAGAAACTCAGATGGATCAATGGAAGTTTGTCAGGCTTTTTAGCCTAAATTACTGAATATATCTAGATGAAATTGGGTAGATGTAAAGGAAAGTTTCGAAGAGCACATGTGCTAATTACTTTTACATTTTTTTAATTCCATGCGGTCGGAGTCGCGGGCGAAAGCTTATCAAAGATAAATCGTTTACAATATTAGGCCAATCCCTAGTGCTCTATTAGAAAGGCGGTTTATGCAATCTGTAACACAAAGCAATCTTTAGTCCGTCACTTGCTTAGGTTTGACTGATCCAATCAATTCCTCGACAGCGAACATTTGTTCAGTAACAAAGGGCATTTGTTACATTGTTTCCAATTACTAGACTTGATACATATTGCTACTAGAATTTTAACTGTAATCGTACAGTGGAGGACATTTATTCCTACCCATTGGTGAAATGTCATCTATACTATTATAATAAAGCGTAAACACACACTTCTTTGTTGCCTAAGATGTCAGCAATTACAGCATATTTTTGAATAATTATTTTTTAATAAAAAGCCCTAAACTTACGTCACGCTTTAGGCTATATATTTTCATGCTATTAAACTTAGGTGGTAAATATTTTGGATTAAATCCCTAACGTGGGAAAGAGACCATAAGTTGCTACCAACATCAAGGAAGCAAGATTGTCGAGGTTTGTCATATCATATCATTTTGACATTTGCTATTGACAATATGTCAAATGTAAACAATAAAATAAAATTTTCATAATTTTATGCGGATGAACCCGCCCGGGAACAGCTAGTTTAATATATTAGAATAGGGTAGAAAACTAGAAATGCTACTATTGCACTAGTATAGTACTTACCGTGAATTCACTGCTCGAAATTTAATCTGTAGTGGGTAGCATATTTAGTTCTTTGACTACATTATAGTTATCTGAAATACAAACATTTAAAAAAAGTTTTAAAAACATGATTACAGAAATGTTTCTATGTATTTAGTTTCATACACTAAAATAGTTAACTTTTGGCTTGTAAATGGTACTTTGAGTTTATATTCAATCGCCACATATATATCAAACGATTAAAACATAAAATACCTTAATATCGAGGCATCTAACGATTTCGTTTATCATAAAAAATATCTTTCGCAAGGGTGTTTTATCCGTACGCATAAATTCGATAAGCCGTAACATTGAATTGCTATAAAATTTTATCATCTTCAAAAGTTTGTGGTAAATATTTAAAGGTTTCTAGGACATTAAATTTGTAGAAAATAGAGTTTCACTTGACCATGATATTGTTGTTTTTTGAGGAGAATAATTGAGGCCACAATATTGTATTTTGGTAGAAATTTCACGCAAATACAGTCTTATTAGATACTGTACGCCGGCGACACTCCCCTAGTAATTAAGAAAAAGGAAAAGTAGGTAGTATTCTTCCAAACTATGCTATACATCTATGACACATTGACATCCGTTCCGTGTCGTTTAGGTGACAAACTCTGATAAACATCCATCTATCTAACTTTTGCATTAATATTAGTGAAGTTAGCAATATAGAACATAGTCTGGATGAACACATAGGCTACTAAAATGTTTAATTCCGCGAGAAGGGAAACTCGAGCATAACATAGTCTATACTAATATTATAATGAGGAAAGATTTGTATTTTTGTACGTATTGAAATAACTCAAAAACTTCCGGACCAATTTCGAATTCTTCCACTATTAAAAAGCTATGTTATCACTGACATAGGCTATATTTTAACTATTTTTTAAATTTCACGCAGGCGAAGTCACGAGCAACAGGTAGTTGTAAATAATTTTATAATTGAACTGAAATTATTAATGCATTTGCTATTTCGCTTTAATAATAACAGACAATAAGGGACAGGAATAGAACAAATATGTTTTTGTTTCTATTTTCCTGAATAATCAAGATTTGTTGTAAATTTTATTTTATGAATACTAAATGCGTCGTTCCGTCGGACGAGGGAAACGCGAGCGAACGTAATTACTCGTTAGCAATCAGTCGCGAGCTACCGATGTAGCGTTTAATCAAGTACTTTCCGTTTTGTACTATTTAAATATACGGAAATGTTATTTTCTTCAGTGTTTTGTTTTTTATTTAAAGCCAGGTCAAATGGGATTAAAAAAGCATATAGACGATGTGTTCTTCTAGACTATCCTCTACATCTATGCCCAATTCGAGCGTTCGGCAGTTTAACCTACAAACTCTAACAAACATCCATCCATCTGCACTTTCGCATTTATAATATTAGTAAGATTATGAGAGATAATATCTATAAATAATAGAATACATCATATTACAAGAATTAAAGGTATAATGTCTTTTTCGGTTTTCAAACAAAATAGGATATACAGTAACGATGGGGACATAAACCAGAAAGTGTTAAGATTTGATGTGGATGGATACAAAGGAAGATGAAGACCGAAGAAAGTATGGATGGATTGTATAAAAGAGGATATGCTTAAAGGGAGTGGATTTAGATATGACGGTTGATAGAGATGTATGGAAGAGCAGCACATACTGTGCCGACCCTCAGTAGGGATAAGGGCAAGTTGATAATGATGGGGTGTACAGAGAAAATGTACACTACTAGCTGTTCGCGTGTGGCTTCATCCGCATGAAATTATAAATTTATTGTTTGCTTTTGTCAAATTCTCAATTGCAAATGTCAAAATACCAATTACATTACTATGGCAATTTTGCTTTCTTGATGTTGGCAGCAACTTATGGTCTCTTTCCCACATTAGGGTTTTTATTCAAAATATTTACCCCCTAAGTTTAATGTCATGAAAATATATAGCCTAAAGCGTGACGTAAGTGTAGGGTTATTATTAAAAGAATTATTCAAAAATATGCTGTAATTGCTGACATCTTAGGTAACAAAGGAGTGTGTGTTTACGCTTTATTATAATAGTATAGATTTAGTAATTAAGGTAAAAAAATGAGCGTCGGTGGCTCAGTGGTTTAAACACTTGACTTGTAATCTACATGTAATCCGGCCGTGTACCAATGTGATTTTCGATTTTTCGAATTTTCATATGTACATAATTTACCCGACGTTCTTACGGTGAAGGAAAACGTCGTGATGCCTGCACATATTGACGAAGAAATTCAAAGATATGTGTGAAGTCTACTAGGCCATAGTCATCCACACTTGCCCATGTGGGCCAGTGGGTAAGGGGTGACTATGGCCTAGTCACCCCTTATTAGGGTAGGCTCCGAGCCCCTCGGTGGGGTCGTATAGTGAGCTGGTGATGATGAATTAAGGTAATAAAACAACAGTAATTTATGATTCATTTTAATCAGTAATTTGACTGTTAACAGGAATGTAGGTAAACATGAATCAGAATAATAAAATATTATCTCCAAGCGATTTGTATCATTTACAGCATAATTGATATGTTAAGATATTTTAAAACATTGAATTGTTGGCAAATGCTTTCTTACTACGTTTTAATTAAAATTTGGCGCAAAATAGAGTAAAATTCACTTGAGGAATTGAACATCCTATACATAAACTTATTACTATAAATTGGCACCAAGACATGTGTATAGAAAATATTCTGTTTTTATGTAGAAATTGCAGTTACATCTAATTTAAGCACATAGAACATTTAAATACAAAACCGACTACAATTCTTTAAAGTTTTTTGCAATACATAAAAGCATTATTATCGAAAAATATCTAACATTAATATCTTTTTAAAATCTGTTTAATTTCTATTACAATAATGACTATGAAATTGCTTATTATAATAAAATTTATTAATATATCGGCAATAAAACATTTTCTTTTGAAAAAATTTGCATCACAGTTTGAAAACAATACAAATTAAAAAAACTATGTTTTAGTTAAATTGACAATATTTAACGCAATACACATATACTTTATTGACGGAAATAAAAATTTGTATCAAATATTCAATATCATACAATACAAATTAAATTATATCTCAACATGAAAATAGTTATTGTAGGATTTTTTTTACATATCGACGGGTGATAGGCTATTTGGTTTAACCGCCATTTTACGCGATATTGACTCATACACTCCGTATTTAAAATCTATACTAATATAATAAAGCGTAAACACACACTTCTTTGTTGCCTAAGATTTTAATTACAGCATATTTTTGTATAATTCTTTTTTTAATAAAAAGTCCTACACTTGCGTCACGCTTTAGGCTATATATTTTCACGCTATTAAACTTAGGGGATAAATAATTTGTAAAAAAAACCTTAATGTGCGAAAGGGCCCATAAACTACAGGCTGTAAACATCAAGGAAGCAAGGTTGCCATGGTTTGACATCATGTCATTTTGACATTTGCAATTAATAATTTTACAAATGTAAACAATACATTTTTCGCTATTTCATGCGGATGAAGTCACACGGGAACAGCTAGTATGAAATAAATAATGAAGTATGCAGAAATATAGTAATTTTAATCTAGATCCGGTCTGAAAATCAATTGAAATTATTTATAGGGTTTCCATTTATGTTTTTTTAAATGAAGACTTTGAATGGCTCTTGTGAACATTTTACTTAGTGGTTCTTAAAACAAATAGCCTTTCACCCAACTATATAATAGTTTATTAGCACAAATATATATGCACAGCCTTAAAATTAAACATCAAAGTATACATGATTTTAAGCATTAACTTTGTAGAAACATATTTACAAAAGTTGCGGTATCAAGAATATTGGAATTATTTGCATTTATTATTAAAATATTACACTATTGAACGTTCACTGGATTACGTTGAAAATAGACTCATCAAACCTCAAGAAAAATATTTTTTTTAATATCTCTTAAAATACTACATATTTTAAAGACTGTGAATGTAATTAAGCGGATTTGTCTAGAACTAAAGACAGTCTAATTGCAAATTCACAAACGCCATGAGCGTAATCATTCACTTGCATTTCAAAGGGATTTTTTTTTAAAAGGAACTTGAATTAAATTTAAGCATAACTCTGTGCGTGCTCTAATGGAATTCCTGAAAGCTTGTTGCCTTTCTCCACCCAATTTTTTAACCTCCCCCTTAATTCTTCCAAACTTTTCGATTTCGCTTTATTAATCCTTTTGTATTTAACATCTTTTGGTTTGGTTACATTCCTGTGATTGGACATAACACGGTTGTATGTCACTACTGGGTTCGACCTGGACTCCTGTTCGCCTTCATCACTGTCCGGGTTAGAAGTCACTTCTTCATCAGAATCGTTCGCCGGCATCATCCTTTTTGGCACATAAGTATACGACCAGACTTCCTTAGTTTTAGGCTTAGCCACATCTTTATCAGAATCTATGCTTTTGACTTCAGCTGTCAATACAAGACTTCTCATTCTAAAGTTGTCCCGTCTTTGAGCAAGCAGACTATTAGTCTCCTTGTATTTCTGCTCATCAGTTTTATTCATATCTTTTAATTCTTTCTCAGTGCTGTTCTGTGCACTTAACCCCTTTGTGGAATCTCCATCGGCTTCTTCTTCCACACTGTATACCGTTTCCAGTATCTCAGGCCTTCGGAGGAATCCGTTTGATCGCCTGACGACACTATACTTGATGTTTGTATCTATGGCATCAGAAATGGATCGAACTACAGTAACACTGTCAGGATTCGTAGACCTGAATCTCGGTATTAGCGGGAGATTGCTGCAATCAGAATCAACGTCTTCCATTATGACGGCAGAATCTGAGTCGTTCAAAGAATCGAAATCGCCAGTTATATGTGTATCTTGAAGCATATCACGAAAATCTGGGATCTGTTGTGCCAGTTCTATGCCATTTTCGTGTAGCTTTGATTGCAACGTTTCTATGACTTTCTGCTGTTTCATTATGATAGTTTCTCTAAGCGCGAGCATGCTGGTTATCTCTTTCTGTTTCCGGACCAGCCTCGATTCGAACAGTAGAAGTTGGCTCGACAACGACTTCAACTGTTCCGCCTTTTCTCTCTGCAGACGCGTCACTAATTCCTCCTGCGAGCGATGTGCGCGACGCCATGTCATAAGTTGGTGAGCTTGAGCGCGATATTTCATGCGCAAATCCCTGGAAATCAAACAGCAATTGAAAATCTTATAAGTCGTACCAAAATCGCGAAATAAACCAATTAATAGTTACAGTAATCTATGGTTTTATTAAATAAACGACGTAGTTTAATGCGCTGTGTACCTTATGGTTCGCCGCGCCTCATCCAGAGTGTGAGCTTCAAGAGGGTCGGTGAGGGATGCGGCCAGCGACACATCCGGTTCCGTCGGACTGTTTAACGCCGATTCGCTCCGGCTGCAAATAAAACCATTTACATTATTAAAAAATAAATGATTTGATAAAATTAAGTGTCGTAAGATGTGAAGACCAGATCTATAAGTAGACTTTCTTGAATGTATGTGATTGTAATCTTACTAATATTATAAATGCAAAAGTTTAGATGGATAGATGGATGTTTGTTAGAGTTTGTAACCTATACGGCTAATCGGATTTCGAAGCAATTTAGCATAGACCTAGAGGATTGTCTGAAAGAACACATAGGAACACACTTTTGTTTTTTTTTAATTCTATAAGAATCGAGTCCCGGGCGAAAGCTAGTTATTGATAAATGTATGAAGTGTGAGGATGATTCATTATCATTGTTTTATCAAAATAAAGTAGTAAGTACACGATACTTTTGTGGCGATGTATTGTGTCCTTAGTCCTTAAAGACAGCTGCGTACTTCAATATTCATATCAGAAACCGAAAACGCAGCTGCACCTTTTTGTGTCGACTTAAATATACACCGACCGATTTGTGGTATTTCTTTTTAACTTTTTCTATGTATTAAAATAAAACCTTCTTTTTTCTTTTTTTTTCGAAAATGACGTTCTTTTTGGTATAGTCTCTAAGTAGTATTACGATTTAAAAATACTCTAAAACTTCTGGTATATTCAGCTATGGAAGTAACTGAGAAGCCTTTGAACAGATGCAGGTTAATTCCAAATGAAGTCTCAACGAATATTGCTTCATTTTAAACAACAAGGTACATTAATATCGATTAAAAATTTTAATAGTCAAACCGGCGACAGTTGGTCGCGGTTGAGTGCTGGCGGGTGCGGCACGACAGGTGGTATCCGATACTTCCGCTGGCAGATGTGCCTTGTAACGAATATTCTGTTTTATGCTAAATACTACCAAAGTAGCCCACTGACCAAACAAGATAATGAGCACGCGATTTTAAATAATTTATACTACATTAAAACACAATTAAAGGACAGATGCTCGGACTTTCTGAAGCAGTTTTTACGCATGAGAAATGAAAAATTTAAGTTCCATATTCAGAATAGATTAGAGTAGTACAGGATTTTTATGCTACACTTAAGAGAATGGGTTAGAGTATATTGATCGGAAATCATTACGAATGCATAAATTGCATCTCGTAAAAACCAGGCTATTTTTCGTGACCGTTCTATGTAAATGACCTCTGTCTTTACATAAGCTTTGAATGTGCCGACTATAAATAGATAAATGAATACGAGAGCATCGAACGCTGACCAACTGGACATCTACAGCGTGTGTAAAGCGATAGCGTCTCGGAACATTTCCTAGTTCACTGGCTGTGACGTAATGCTTTACTTCCTGCACGATCTTAGACCCTTTTAGACTTAGTTTTAGACCCTTTTTCTAGCTAATGCGACTTTGAATCTGTAAACAATGTGCCATTGCTATGCCATGACATAGATGTAGTTAATGAAAAAGGAGCCTTAATTTAAAAATAGCACAGTTTTAATTTAAAATAGTAGACATGAAATATTTCACTACTTAGTTTGAAAGGAAATGTAAAACATTTACATAACATTTTTAATTTTGTAATGGCTTTTGTTTGAAGCATTGTCGTTAAGTTTCATTTTATTTTATCATAGTTTCCTGTAGAATATATATTCCCTTAAATTTGCAGATTAATTTATCATAAGTTAAGCTTATACCAGACGTATGCAACGTTGTATCTGAATATATTTTCCTTTGTCTCACTTCCTCGTTTCATATTAACATTTATGACGTTAATTTTTACTTTGGTATTCATTGCAGGCACATAAATTGGTAGCACTGACAGTTAGTGACAAAGAAAAAATTTAAATGTACCATGTTCAGATGTGGTTAACAATATCATGCGACCCGTATGTTTCAATTTGTTTAAGTCGCTTGTCGACACAGGTATTAACAGTAGGAACTGTCAAAGACAGAAAATGTCGTTACTGGTTTTTTTAGTTGTAACACATTGTTTTGTGACCATCATCACATTTTAGACTTTAAAAGCGTTTATAACTAAACCTTTCTTACACTCTTATGTGTGTCTAAATTATTTTTAGTACTAAAGAAGTTTGCGAGAATTTTATACAAAATTAGCTGTAACCCGCGACTTCGTCTACGCAATATTAAGATAAAAAAGTATCCTATAATATGCCCGTCTAAGTCAGCTATTCTTCAGTGAAAGTCCAGTCGAAATCGTCCCAGCCCTTTCTGGGATAACAAAAAGGTAGACAGACAAAAAGAAATTAAAATTTAAAACAAAAATTCATCATCTTCCCGAAACCTGAAATTTTTCTTTTGATATTAAAAACAGACACTCCAATTTTCTTACATGTATATACATAGTTCCCTAGCAACGTTGCATGATTCCATGATTGCCAACATAAAAAGTAAATTCCAACATTAATAACAAAAGTGGAACAGGTCCATAAATCCTAAGTCCATTGTTGGCATTGTCCTCTTTATGTTCACGTGGAAATAGCGCTTCAACTAGTCATGCGGGCCGCAGTAAAATGTACGATGTTCGTTGTTCGGCTTTCACAACAAAAACAAACTTTGTAAAACCTTCTCGTATCAAATATACGCATCTGCTTAACTTAATTGAAAGGTGAATTCTTAACAGTGGTAGAGCCCGCTTTAACATCTTCGCACGAATGGGCCGGCTCGCCTCCAGCAATGCCACGACCACACATAAAAGCAATTCCGTGTTTCGTCTGATGAGTGTGGTACCAGAGGCCTACTTTTAGTCCCTTTTCCTTTCCACCCTTTTTCTTAACAGGAAAGGATGGATTTGACGGTGGTGGAGACGCATAGAAGGAGGAAATGTCCTTTATGTGCGTCTTCTCCTCCGTCAATTAAGGGCAACGTATCTGCAATTGCTGATGTTTATGCGAAGCGGTCGCTTTCCGTTTGGATGGATTCAGGTTGCCGCTTGCTCGTTTGCCGTTACAAAAAAACCAGTAAACTTCATCACCATCAACCTGTTTTTGGGAGGGAGTTGGCACGGTATGTATTCTTCCATATATCTCTATCAGCTGTCATATAATCACTCCCTTCTTTAGCATTTTCTCTTTCACACCATCCAAGCTTTTTTTATTTCGCTACCTTGGCAGACATCCACAGTAGGAGTCTAGTTATTACAATAGTTTTAAGATTGAGTCAAAATATTTCACAATAGAATTAACTCGATTGACATTTAGAAAGTTAAGGTATTGACGGCTTTAGACCACATTTTCTTTTTCTTTAACTAACTAATTTAACTAATTAATGTTAACGTATGTTAACATTGGATATTACTTTTAAAAATTATTGCTAGAATATAGTGTTATGAGCAAAATAAGTTTCTTGTGAATTGTAAAAAAAGAAGAACTTCTTTCAAACTCTTTGCAATCTTGCTAATTTCCCAAGGGAATTGGCAAATAAATTTTTAATTTCACATTGAACAGTTATGTACTATATATCCAAATTATTGTGCTTTCGTCCGTGACTTCGTCTGCGCGTCAAAAATTAAAATAATCTTATTAAGTAGGCTATGTATTCTTCCAGACTGTCTTCTAATTCTTTGTCAAATTTCATCGATATCCATTCAGACCTTTAGGCTACAAACTCTAATAAACATCAATCCATGCATTTGGATTTATAATATTAAAAGTAAGGAATATTCTGGTACAGTTTGGCAAATAATTCATAAACGTAACCGTAATAAATAATGTGCTCCTCTTGGCGCTTGGCACGTTTCTTGTCGTGTAACTCTGGAGATTTGCAAACATAAATATTGCAAAACCATGCATTTATCATTTTTCATTCTAGTTTACAAGTTTTATTTTTCTTTTGTTTTTATTTACATTAACGTTTTTAATGTTGGTTTATTCACTGACGGTAAAGGGCTATCGTCGGCTACGTCCCCACTGAGGAGCTCGGAGCCCACCCCAAGTTACGGTGACTAAGCCATAGTCACAGGGTG